GGCCTCTTTTTATTTTTTTTAATTTTTGGGGCAGAGTCTTGCTTTGTCACCGAGGTTGGAGTGCAGGGGACTGATCTCGGCTCACTGCAGCCTCCATCTCCTAGGTTCAAGCAATTCTCCTACTTCAGCCTCCTGAGTAGCTGGGGTTACAAATGCCCACCACCACGCCTGGACAATTTTTGTATTTTTAGTAGGGATGGGGTTTCAACATGTTGTTCAGGCTGGTCTTAAACTCCTGACCTCATGATCTGCCCGCCTTGACCTCCCAAAGTGCTGGAATTACAGGCATGAGCCACCGTGGTTGGCCCACTTTGGCTGTTTTTAAAAATAGGACCTATTGTTTTGGATTACTATCTGAAAATTTCACGGATTCACTCCTGTCTACAGGAGATAAGAATACATTTAATTCATAACTTTTATATTAACCAATATAGTAAAAAAATAAAGCTCACACACACAAAAACTAAGTTGCCTTTCCTTGAATGAAGGCTGCCTGAATAAAACAATGAAAGAAAGATACAAATAAAATTAATGGTATGTAGTCTTAATTTGTAAATGAATGAATAGGGAAGTAATACACACTGTGGATATATTTTAAGGCCTTACGTAGTTTTAATTGTTCTGCTTGTTCTGTGGTTATGTCTAAGACTATAGTATATGATTCTCTTCAGAGTATATCAAATATTGTGAATGCTTTGGTTCAGATGTGTCAAATTAACAGTAAAACAACAAATATACCACTGACCTGTGCTTATTTGCCTTATTCCATGCTCCCCACCCCCACAGTAGAAAGAGTGAAAAAAAATTACCTTTCGTTTTTATAGGACATAGTTTGAAATTTTTTTAAATTATATCATTACTTCTTTTGGAGAGGTCTTTCTCAAGATTGTCTTGTAACCTATACAGTTTCTTCTTTGTATAGCATGCAACCCAGGGCTTGGCTAAATGTTCTCTTTGATTACCTGGGGAAATCTAAATATTGATCCTATTTATTCAGCATTCATTCATTCAGCAGATAGTTATTGAATCTATAAATCATGCAAGTCTGTGCTAGGTAAATTCAGACTATGTCCTCATAGATTTTTATGGTATAGCTAAGGAGATGGGCACCTCATTGCACAAATAGTACTATTTTGATAAGGGATGAAGGAGATTTATAGGATATTGTAACAGGTAAAATGTATTTTTGGGAGGAAAACATGGGGAGCAGGGCAAGGAAGAGTCACTCAGAGAAGTGGTATTTCAGCTAAGTTTTGAAGGATAACTAAGAACTGGGTAGACAGGGGAAGCATTCCTTGCTGAAGGGAATGAATAACATATGGAAGCCTAGAGGAAGGAAGGTATAGTTAAATATGAAGACTGGGCCTGGCGCAGTGGCTCACACATATAATCCTAGCTCTTTAGGAGGCCGAGGTGGGTGGATCATGAGGTCAGGAGATTGAGACCATCCTGGCTAACACGGTGAAACCCCATTTCTACTAAAAATACAAAACCTTACCTGGGTGTGGCAGCATGCATCTGTAGTCCCAGCTACTTGGGAGGCTGAGGCAGGAGAATCACTTGAATATAGGAAGTAGAGGTTGCGGTGAGCAGAGATCGCACCACTGCACTCCAACCCAGAGCGAGACTGTCTCAAAAAAAACAATGAAGACTGGTCAGAGTTCAAGGAGCAAGTTTGACCTAGGAATGAGGCTGCTAATTAGGAACACAATTACAGGCCGGGCACGGTGGCTCATGCCTGTAATCCCAGCACTCTGGGAGGCCGAGGTGGGCGGATCACGAGGTCAGGAGTTTGAGACCAGCCTGACCAACATGGTGAAACCCCGTCTCTACTACAAATACAAAAATTAGCTGAGTGAGGTGGTGCATGTCTGTAATCACAGCTACTCAGGAGGCTAAGGCAGGAGAATCACTTGAACCCGGGAGGCGGAGGTTGCAGTGAGCAGCTGCACTCCAGCCTGGGCGACAGTGCAAGACTCTATCTCAAAAAAAAATTACAGATGGCATCATGAATCCTAATGTTTACCCTAGAAACAATAGAAAGCCATTGATAGAAAAAAGAAACAACACCCGTCAAGAGTATAGATTTAAAAAAATCTGGAGATGTTAGCTTGCTGGAAATAACATAAGTCAATTGTGTAGAAACATCTAATTTTAGAGTGCTGAAGAATACATCATGGGAAAATGATACAGAAAAGTGCTGTTCAAACCACAGTTGCATTACTAACGTTATTCCAGGATGCAGTGAAAGGATATTTACAAATTAGGGCAAATCCTGAGGTATTTGCCAAGTTGGAAAAGGTACCATAAACTGAAACCTGAAACCAGCTGTAAGATGTCACTGAGTAGTAATACCTGCCTCAAATATTTGACAGATTAGAGCTCAGTATGAGAAATAACTTTATGGCTATTTGTCCATAAAGGAAAGGAATTGCCTCCTAAGTATTAATGAGTAGAGACAGAGCCAAAGCTGAATGATATCTGTCATAGGTTTCACAGAAGAAATTCCAAATTTAAATGAAAAGTTGAACTAGGTGTACTGTGTGTAAAGTTTTGAGACTTTGCATTCCATTTAGATTTTTTCCTACTTCTCAGAGCTTTTTAGAAGACAGTATGATGTAGAATTAAATCGACAGTCAGATCTGGGCTCTCTTGTCGGCTAGCAGTGATTGAATCTGTAACATTGGGCAAGTTATTTCTGGACCTCAGTTTTCTCACTAGAAATAAAGAGATGGAACTAATTGAATAATAACCCTTACATTTCTAATGTAATGTGAAAATTTCAGCCCTACTCACATGTAATGGCTCCTACCAATATTTAGCCTTAACTAGAGTGGTCCCAGTTAGCTTGTTTGGATATTTGGCTTTTGTGCTTACCAACATGGTACAATTTGGAGGGTAACACGTATCCTTGGGAAACGGTTAGCAGTGCATACATAGCTCCTGCCATATCCTCCAAGTACAAAAAGAATGGCAGATAAGAACTTTCCTGGACTAGTTTATCATCTTCACACTTCTCCAAGTTTATTACACAAATTTACCAGTTCTATATCTTACATGAATATATATCATATTTTTTTTTTGGTGATTTCTATAAATATATAGGTAGTGTTCACTTTAAGAGAGCTCAAGGCCGGGCGCGGTGGCTCACGCCTGTAATCCCAGCACTTTGGGAGGCCGAGGCAGGTGGATCACGAGGTCAAGAGATCGAGACCATCCTGGTCAACATGGTGAAACCCCGTCTCTACTAAAACTACAAAAAAATTAGCTGGGCATGGTGGCGCGTGCCTGTAATCCCAGCTACTCAGGAGGCTGAGGCAGGAGAATTGCCTGAACCCAGGAGGCGGAGGTTGCGGTGAGCCAAGATCGCGCCATTGCACTCCAGCGTGGGTAACAAGAGCGAAACTCCGTCTCAAAAAAAAAAAAAAAAAAAGAGAGCTCAATAAGTGAAAATGAATTTTAAGCAGGGCAAGGTGGCTCAAGCCTGTAATCCCAGCTACTTAAGAGGCTGAGGTGGAAGGATCACGTGAGTCCAAGACTAGAAGGCTGCAGTGAACTGACTTTGCCACTGCAGTCCAGTCTGGCCAATAGAACAAAGACCCTGTCTGCAAAAGTAATTATAAAATAAATTTTAGAAATTGTAGACTGACAGCAATTGTCATGTAAATAGTGGTATTCTTGCATTTAGACATATAACAAAACCTTAAGAGCTATTTTTCATAAACAGTTATGGAAAGCCACATAAACTCAAATTGTAAAATCTTCAGAGATGTTATAGCCTAATCCCTTTATTTTACAGGTGCAGAAACAAGAAAGGAAGTGATTTTCTCAAGGTCTGCAATTGTCGACAACGGTACTATGTATTCCATTATCTTCTCTTTACCAAAACTTACCTGTATTAATATACCAATGATCCTTTCAAATTATATGGCATAAACTTATTTGCTCTCCAATGTTAGTCACAATTTTAATTTTGTAATGGGTAATTCCTCTTTGTCAGCTAGTTACTCATTGAAGAGTAAATTGGTAGATTGTGCCAATTAATTCTCGTTAATGATTATTTTAAGAATTTAGTACTAATTCATTTTACCAGGCACAGTTACAGTTAGTTATGTTGAAACCTAGTGAGGATGATAGCCATAGACACATCAGTATGCAATCAAGTGTTTATTTCAGGAGTTGATTTACTACAAATTTTATCATACAGAATAAGCAATTATATTGAAAAAAGTATGAACATAGTTATTACTAATTGGCTTTTAGCTTGTTGCTTTGTTTTAAAACAGGCAATTTATTCAAATATGATAGATAGCATATTGCATTCTGATAAAGTGCACCCCAAATGTCCAAGAACCAAAAAAGTAACAATTTATGCTTATGATACTTGTAATTAGGCTTTGAGTTTTAACTTGAAGGACGTAAAAGACATTTGTTTATTATATCTCTAAATGGGTTATGCCTCTGACTGAATAGTTGAATGAGTAATGCTAAGGAAGGAAACTAACACCTCTATCCTGGAAATGACCCACTTAGAGGTGTGTAAATGACATTAGAGGTGTGTATTTCTTTCTTTCTTTTTTTTTTTAGGGAACGTACAAAAGACTTTACAAATGTCAGTAAGCTGAAAGCTGTTAAACTGGCTTTTTCATATGAAGCCAGATGGACTTGAAATTATTTTACTCCCTCTATTTCCTCTTATAGGCCATGTAGTAAATTTGCATCATGTAATTATGACACTTTTAGAAAAAAGTTTTAATAGTGTGCTTTAAAAAATGACAGTGTAACATTAGAAAAATGGGGGAAATACTGTTGTTAGTTTTTGTTTATCTCCTAGTAAAATATAAGTTTCAGCCACTGTACTACTTGAATAATTCAGAATTTGAATTTCTTTTTCCTCTAAAACAACTACTTAAGGTAGTATATTGAATTGAATTAGATTCAGCCTTCTGGTTTTTTGAAGAAAAGAAGTAGTAG